GTATCCTTGGTATCCTTGACTCTTAGAAATATTGATGAACATTAGAACATTGTGAAAATGGAATTACATATTTTAACGCACTATATTAAAACCATTGTGAATTCATAGATTCGAGGTGTTTTCTGTGCTGTATATGAGCAAGGACGTCTCGTCCTTGATATGAGCCATCTACCCGGCTATGGACCTATGCACTGCGTAAACTAATACATCGTTTACTCTGTCACTTTGCAGATAGATACGTATTGCCAATCTGTAGCCAAGAACGTTGTTTATTCAATACGCCCACACGACTTTGTTTTTCTATCAAATTTGCTGCGGTATCAAATCAGAAATTTAATAAAAGTGCATATACCTAGAAGGTAACCATTAAGGTTTATTATTTTTAATTAGTTAATCAATCTCATTTGTTGCGAGGACAAGAAAAACAATTTTACAGACCCTGCTTGTTTTGACATTTTTGTTCTAGTTAGAACTTATTGGCGTGAAGATCAACCATTTGGGCATAACCGTATTTGTAACTGTAAAGATTCCATGTGAAAATAATTTACCCCACCCACACCCAGACATAGTATATTCTTTGGCCCTCCCCTTCCCTAAGTCAATATTTTACGGGTCAAAGTCTATTCTAGAGGGATCTAATAAGCTCCAGTGTAGGACTAAAAATGTCTGTTCTCCTTGTCGGCCTGTTTACGGTTGCTGCAGTCCTGTGGATATTGAAGTCTTTGTTCGCCTGGCGATATTCCTTTACTCGACAGGATGGTATACAAGAACCGGCAGAGATTCAACGTGATTTGTTGAGAGGAAAAGTTTTCATCGACATCGTAAGTAGCACTGCCGATTAGTTGTACCAAGGACATTCAATCAGCATATCAGAACTATAGAACGTCCTTGGTTATACTGTACGGTAGTCGTCTACAGGAATGCAAACCGAGGGGATTTTGGGGGGCATTTACAAATTTGACAGCATTTTTCTAATATAAAAATTTTGTCGTCTTTTACTGATGTTTTGTATTTTCTACCTGTTACACACGTCGCATATCAGTATTTCGTTTGATTGTAAGCAAGCCTCTGGATTTTAAATAAAGGCACAATTTGTCATTTATTTTTAGGCAAGTGTTGTTGAGTTTTTTGGATTGACAACCACTCTGAGGCTTCAGAGAGCATTTGATCGAATCCTGTTGCCCAAACAACCAAAAGACCCAGCCATCATTATAACAGACACAGCCTTTAGTGGAGTCAAAGTCCGCTTATATGAACCCAAGGACAAACAAAATGGCGGAAAGCTACCGGGACTGATCTACTACCACGGAGGGGGGTGGTGTACCCAGGATGTTGGTGAATATTCATAAGATATTCCTGTTGAGTTCGCCCAGCGCTATGATATAATGTTACGGATAGTATAGTGAATTCTTTATCATCTTTATAATCGTTTTCTCTGCAACCCTTGGATGGTTTTGAAAAAACAATTACATTTTTTAAATCTTTGTAACATTAAGAAAAATGCTACCATTGTATTTTATGTATTTGTTTGGCTGTAGAAAAACAATTTGTACAGCCAGGACAGCCCAACTAGCCTGGCGGCTATCATAAAGGGGTTGCCCTGCTGACAAGACAAACATTTACACATTACAACAATACAATACATCAACGTGGAGAGGTCAGGGTCACACACCTTAGGCTGATTCTGCAACCATTGTAACAGAAGAAGTGTAGATCAAGAGACCTAAAAGCCGCTAATGATGCATGCTAAGAAAATGGCAATTATGTGCATCGTCTGTGATTCCATTGTTACGAATGTTCTGTACGTATACTGGTATATTTCTTGGCCAAAATTCCAAAAATGAACTTGAAGGGCTGGTCATTTAGTCTATTGAGATGTATAAAAATCGCCATAGTACTTGAATTTGAGATAGTGTGTTCTTCATTCTTACATTATAGAGTAAAATGTAGTTCCCCGGTGGTATCAAAATAAAGACTATGACTTATCATATTATTACAGATAGCCTACATCACGTGACCCTTCACCTTGCGAAGGCCCTAGGAGCAGTGGTGCTGTCAATTGAGTAGGTTGAACATGACAAAATAAAAAAAAATTAATTATTAAAGGGATTAAATATTGACAGATAACATTCACAAATAACTCTCAATTTGGTCACTTTTTTTAATGATAAACGCTATAGTCAAGGTCTTATACAGGATCTTATATGTAATCTGTCCTTTTGTTATGTAATCTGTCCTTTTGTTTATATATATATGTTTTATGTATGTTGGTTTGTCTGATGCTGAGCCCTGGAAGATTAGCCCCTCATGGGGCTAAATGGCATCTTAATAATATCAATAAACCAATAAGGATCCAACACTCCAGTCCAAGCCATAGCCCTCTTTGATTGATATGTTAAAGAAATTTTAATTCTGTTATTTTGTATTCATTTCATTGGTACTTTGGCTGCTTACAGATATCGACTTGCCCCAGAATATGTATTTCCGGCCGGTTTGAATGACTGTGTGACGGCAACCAAACATTTCATTCAGAATGCCGAGAGGTATGGTGCCTTCATCTTTGTTCGTTTATTGTTTATTTCAGGCTCAATTGCGCATAGTGTACAGACATACATATGTGACATAATACATCTAAAAAAGCAAACATATAAATTGAAAGAGACCCCTTGCGGTGGGAAAAACTAGTACAAGAGTTTCCGGCGGTTGGCATCAAAAGTATCAATACGCATCTTCACAAATAAGTCGCTGTTACTAGCACTTCTTGGTTGAGACAATAGCATGTTTAGGCCTTCATGGTAGGCAACTCGTAATCTATGCATGGTTCCAGCCCTGTACTTGGACCAAAGCTGAGCACACTACATTGCACTACAGTGTAATATGAAGAGAATGCGTATTCAGGTATATTTTGGACAATATTTTTTGTGAAATAACGTCTACAGATTTCATCTCGCCTCCCTACAAATGTACTTATGAGTAATTGTATATCGTTGAGTCGTTGACGATAGCCTTCCCTTTACAAAAGAGTAACAACACATCAGTAGCGACGCTGTGCGGATAGTGTGAAAATTGCAAAATCATCACTAAGGCATTGGGGACGTTTGTGGAGAAATACGATTACAGTTTCAAATTTTTTATACGCAAATGGTATTGGTAAAACAAGATGTAGACAGGTACATGTGAGACCGTAATCTTTTACACGCAATACTTAAATTTGTAACTGCAAGAAGTACTTCATCATGTACAGAAAAACGCTAATATCATTTTCAAATTTAATATTCACAGGTTCTCCGTCGATCCAGCACGAATCGGGGTTATGGGAGACAGTTCAGGAGGAAATCTTGCCACGGCCGTTCTCCTAAAACTGAATGAAGAAAGCTTCAAACATTGTTTGAAACTCCAAGTCCTTATCTACCCTTCCACTCAACTTTTCGACCTCCATACCCCGTCTTTTATAAAGCATGGCCACATAGATAAATTCAGGCTTTGGTATATTTCAAGGTATTACTCGAATTACCTCGCTGGAAACGAATCCCTCATTGATGGATTCATGAAGAATGATCAAGTTTTAAATGCAAAGGTAAACCTTGGTGATTGGCTGCACACGTATTTACAAAATTTCTTTGAACAAAGTGAACTGGATCTGTCTCAGCTTGGTCCTTTTCCAAAAAGTGTCTTGCGTGGTATAGGGGCTTCTCCTGGATATGAAAATGTCTTAAATCCTTACGTTTCGCCTCTGATGGCCTCAGACGAAAACCTAAAGAAACTTCCAAAGACGTTCTTGATGATTTGTGAGTTTGATCTGGTAAGAGACGAGGGGATTCTGTACGGGAAAAGGTTGAGTGAAGTAGGGGTAGATGTTCAGTTGAAGTACTATCCGTTAGGCTATCATGGGATGTTGTTTCACTCTGACATGGAAATGGCACATGATGTGGAAGGCTATGTAAAGAAAAATCTGTGATATGTTAGATATTTGTTTAGAGTTAAACTTTTGAATCAACACAAAGAAGCTCTCTCACATAGAGCTTCCGACCAGTCACCCTGGTCTTCTTCAGTAGACTGACCCAGTGAGGCTTGTCACATGGCTTCTATGAAGTGTACGGTCAACACAATAAAAATGACTTTAAGTTAGTATAAAACCATTTAGTTTGCTCATTTGTATGATAAATCAGCAATTTCAAAACAGATCAAGTTTTATAAGTATTTTGTTATTTTTTGTGTAGTTTTTAAAGGGTTTTTCTACATCTTAGAATTACCTTTAGGTAACTAACTTCCCTCAGAGTTACTAGAACAGACACTTTTCTGGCTCTCCCTTCAGACTTTGCATTTTACAGCAACCATATATATTCTGCCAGGATCCCAGGTGAATTATAACATGCTACTGGTATCGACCCGTGTCTTACTGGTAGCACCCTCATGGGCTGGCGTAATCCACTTCACTTAACGCAATCCTACAGCACCTGATACTCTGGAAAATTGTTACTTACCCTCTGCTGATGCCTCTCCGATGAACCCTAAATATTTACGAAGTGTCTATAGAATAGCAATGCCTGAATATTTGTGATAGTTCGGATTTTCATATTAAGGGCACGTTATATAAGAACTTTATTGCAGGAAAATTTTACGTGGTACAATGTATGACAACTACTAATAAACAGTATGTTCCCTACTCTGTTTGCATGTCCAGTTTGACAAACACTACATGCCTGTTACAAGTTACAGAAAAAAAGAAGAGGCACATATACACTTCCTATTCTTCACCAGACTCCTTTGCAGGCTAAATAAAAATTGGTCAGAAAAGTTGGCCGGCCAGAGAGGGTCCATTTGCCTGCACCGTACAGACTATAAACCTCCTACACCCATTATTTTTTAGGACTGAAAATGACCTCTTCCTGGCCTCATTACTCCTTTTGAAATCCACTATTGTAAAATACCCTGCTTCGTTGTCAAAAAGATAAGCTGATTTACAAGAAAGCTTTTCTGACTCGAAAGACCATTGCTGACCATTCCCAAAAGTACATTTACCCCTG